TGTGCATTTCTTAGATTACATGCATTTACAATAGAGAACAGTGGTTTCATTGTCACTGACATAGCTTCTCCTGGAAAATGCCAGCATCACATGAAAAGCATGAGTTAAAGAACACACAAATTATTTGGTCAATAACTGATATAAGGTTGGCAAATTTAGTATCACTGAGTAAACCACTGAGTAAATCAGTTGGTATAAATGAAGTGGTCTGCTATGAAATGCTTATTCCATTGTGGTTGTACAATGGATTTTTTTTTTTCTTACTACCCCATTCAGCTTTGCCAAAATCCACAGTTGCGCAATATCTGTCTGGATAGTTTCAGACTGTGTCATGTCAAACCTGGACATGCAGCATTTCACTGAGGCAAAAAAGAGATCAGAGATTGCAATTTGATTTTACTATTATACATTTTTATTTCAGTGAAAATAATTCTAAGTTGATTTAGTGAAAGCAAACATGCATGTGCAAAGCATTACATTAAAACTTTGCACATGAGAGCACTGAAATGTATTTATAGTATCATGCATCAGCTTGGTACAGTATGTTACACTCAGCCAAACCTCAGGACTTGATGCACAAACATAAAATGCATTTCAATCTGAAAACATTTTATAATCATTTGAGAACCTCATAATAACCAAATAAAATGTCAGATGTGAAATTCATTTTTTTGATGTTTTATTACTGACTATACTTGTACAACACTACACATATTGAATTATGTACCTACCTTTCCACCTGTGGCCATTTTTGCAAAAAAGATCACAACGTCACAAAGAAAGAATGGTGCAGAACGGGAGAGTGAGAAGGAGAGTACTTACCCTTGAGGTTTAAATACTGCTGCAAGAAAAGAATCATTACACAACCATTCAGGGTGGGGACATTGCAAGTTTTTCATATGGCATTGGCTATTGATAACAAAAAGTGGAAACAAACAAACAAAAACCTTCTTGAGCCATGCAATCAGTTACTGATTCTCAACTTTTTAAAAATCTCAAAACATGTTGGCTTCATGAGAAAGAAGTTGCGGTTTTGGCTTTATCTTTTCTTCAAAGCTTCCCTGAGCAGTTTGTTTCAACAAACTGCCTTGAAGACACAAGCATGAAAGTATCAGGAACTGGTTAAAGTTTGTTTAGGTTGTCTGCCGCTAATTTTTAACATGTCTGGCTAACTGCATTACTTTCAACAAAAACGGCCTAGTATTATTTCCAAGAGTAATAGTTTACCTCATTATTTGAAAGGTTACAGGCCATATTTAAAAAAAAGTTCATGTCTAGTAACTTTACAGTGTGTATGCCAGTCCCATTGGATCACAGTTTAGAGTAACTTTAGTATCTGTCCTGCTTTTTACTGAATTTGGAAAGTTAACACAGAAGCCGTTGTTACCTGAGATGATGTTACATTTTTCAAGCACACATATCCTCACCGAGAAAGCCGTTTCTTGCGGGCTAACATTAAAAGAACAGCATATCAGTCTAAGATATTATTACAGCTTACAGCAGGGGTCACCAACGTGGTGCCCGTGGGCACACGGTCGCCCGCAAGGACCACCTGAGTCGCCCGCGAGGCATGTTCTAAAAATAACACTGGCCACAATGAAGCTCCGTCTAAAAAATTTTTGTTGCTTTACTTTTTGAATCAAAACACTTGAATTAATGTAGATTTTAAAATGACGTTATTTATTACAAAACTTTTAAAACAAAAATGTGGCCTTTTCTGAAGTCAAAGGTCAATATTGCGCGCATGTCAACACCACACACCTCTTTCCTGACACAGGGATGTGGTGCAGCAACAATCAGGAGTTAGTTGTGATTTACCCCCCAAAAATGGCAGAAAAACCAAAGAGAACAGACCATTTTCACAGTGATTGGGAGGAAGAATTCTTTTTTACATCAGTCAAAGAAAAATGTGTGTGTCTCATTTGCAGGACAACTGTTGCGACTGCAAAGCGGCACAATGTGGAGAGACACTTCAGCACATGTCACGAAAGCTACAATGCTAACTAGCCACCCGGCAGCGCATTAAGGAAAGAAAAAGCCTGTGGGTTAAAGGCAGCTC